AATTAAAATAGAATAAAGATAGGATTAAAGATCAAACAGCCAAGAAAAAACAAAAAAAATTTTTTTTCAGTGCTTTTAGAAGATGAATCATTGTATAAGCATTTTAAACATAAGTGAATTTGATGAATGCATTCTCGATGAATAATTGACAAATTTTAAAAACTTTCAAATTTAAAACTTAAATTGAAATTAAACAATTTCCAAATATATTACTATTGTTATAGTATATTAATGATTGCAATCATAAGTTAATCCTACTTTATAACAAATTTTATAGCAAAAAATTCAATTTCAAATATTATAAAAAAAAGAAAGTAAGTAAGTAAGTAAGTAAGTAAGAAAGTTTGATAAAAGTTCCATAAGCGAAATTAATTTATTTGGAATAAAAAACAAAAACAAAAATTAAAATTAAATTTTTAATAATTTAAATAAGAAATGATAAAAGGAATAATATAAGAAAATAATTGAAATAATAAGAAGTAATCACCGCCCGCTCTGCTCATTGAATGTGACACATCGAATGTGACAGTTTGTTATGGACGAACATTTAATGATTTGGCGGCATTTTATCAGGGAAATATGGCATCGGCCATTTGCCAATTTCTGTGAAATGTTAATTTTGAATTTTAAATGCATTTAAATGCGAATGAGATGTGCAATAATTGATAAAAAAAGAAATGAAATTCAAGAATTACGTGCAAAACTTTAATTATTATTGATGTTTTATTATTATTATTATTATTATTATTATTATTATTATTATTATTATTATTATTATTATTATTATTATTATTATTATTATTATTATTATTATTATTATTATTATTATTATTATTATTATTATTATTATTATTATTAAATATTATTGTTATTTTTATTTATTATTATTTATATTTATCATTATTGTTATTATTATTATTATTATCATTATTATTAATATATATTATTGTTATTTTTTGTTATTATCATCATTACTGTCATTATTATTATTACCATTATTACCATTATTATTAATTAATATTATTATTATTGGCATAACATTTAGCACTAATTCTATCTTCCGTCCTTTTTTCTTTTCATTATATGTAAATAGCATAAAGTTAATTTCAATATTTTCTTCTTTCACAAAATTTAAATTAAATTTTTGAAAAAATTAAAAACTTCTAACAAAATATTAATTTAACTTAGACTACTTTTATTTGTTAAGTAAATGAATTAAAGTATTTTTTTTTTCTCAATTTTCTTTTTTAATTAGTTTAAAAATGCATAAAATAACGAATATTTCATCGAACTAAAATTGCATTTATATTTTATAAGTTTTGTAATAATAAATGAATGATAAAAGTAAAAAAAAGCATAAAAATAAAAAAATTAAATTTTGAAAATTACAAAAAATTATTTCTAACAATTGAATTATCATTATTATATTCAATAAATATTAAATGAATCGAATAAAATTTAATTTATTACTACAAAAATATGAAACGAATAAAATAAAATAAAATAATTATTATTTTTATATTATTAAATACCTAAAGAATATCTAATTATAAAGTATTTAATTAATAAAATTAAAATTTACATTTTACTTACATTTTCATTTTTTTCTTCATCTCTTTTTTTATTTTGTAAACTTCTCTCAAAAGCTTATAAACAAAATTTTTTTTTTTTTAAATTTAATTTAAACTTTACAGAATTCAATCATTTATAATAATTCTTTTACAAATAAAGTTAAAGAATACTTAATACTTTGTTTATTCTCACTTAAAGTATTTGCTTTAAAGAAAAAAAGGTAGTGAAAAATAAAATAAATTAAAATTTAAAAACATCAAAAAATTAATTTTTAAATGTAAGCAACAAATCAATAATTTAATATGTAAATAATGAAATGAAATTGAATAAACAACAAACATTTTCACTGCTTGTTGATATTTCTTTTTTCCATTCATTTAATAATAATAAAATGGAAAGAAAAAAATTAAAAAAAAAGTTTAAAAAAAAAAATTTGAAATAAATTTGTAAGTAAATAATTCCTTCAAATAAATAATAAAAGAAGAAAAAAAAAAAGGGAAAAATAAAGATATTGAAAAAGTTTAAGACGGATTAATATTCCGGAAAACAAAAAAAAGAGGATTAAAAATTCATTTTTTTTTTTTGAAAAACATAATATTTACTATTTTGAAAAAAAAAAAATAAAAAGATGATAAGATAATATGCAAAATTTAAATTTAAAATTTAAAAAAAATTTTTTTTTTTTGTTAAGCAATAATAATTAAATAAAATATTTAATATTTGAAATTATTAATCAAAAATAAAAAAAGAATTTTAATATATATAAAGTTAAGAAAAAAGATGAATTTATAGAATTGATTAATTGTTTGTGAATATTATAAAAAGAAATAAAAATTTATAAATAACATTAAAATATTAAGTTTTTTTATAATTATTAAATAAATTACATCAAACAATAACAAATATAATTTATTTTAAATAAATGTGAATCAAAAAAAAAAGAAATATAACATAAAAGCATTAATAAACAATTAGCAAATGAACAATTAACTAATAAACAACATAAACAGTAAACAATAACATAGATATTATAGGTAAATATAAATAGATGAAGATGAAAAAAAGAAGTAAACAAACACATATGTTACTAAAAGTATTAATAAATATGTTTGCATCAGATCATTAACATATAAATAAATGAAAAAGCAATTGAGCAGTCAATTAAGGTAAACAATAAACAATAATATTTAATAAAGGTTATACGACGTTATAAGTAAATATAAATGTAAATCAAAAAATAAACAAGTAAATATGTTTGCATCAAATGACTAATACATACAAATGAATGGTAAGCAATTAAGCATATAATACAAACAATGACGTAAACAATAAACAATAATGCAAACAATAAACAATAAGGTACATAAATGACAGCGTATTATTTACTCAGCACTTACGTATTTCACATTTTAAACTTTTTTTTCGTAATTAAATATAAAAATTTCATTAAAAATTTACTGAAAAATAGAAAAAGAACGGAAAAGAACAGAAGAAAAAATCAAATAATTGTAAATAATATTTGTATCAAATAAATAATTTGAATTGAAATAGAATTAATTAAGTTTTTATTTTATTTTATTTTATTTATAAAGCAATGATTGGAATAAAACATTAAATTTAAACGAAAAAATGGTGAATAAAATGGTTGGAATGCTAATTGTTAACAAATATTTGTGTGAAATAAAAAAAAACAAAAAACAAAAAACGGAAATAAAAAATTTTATTGATTGGATAGAAATAAAATAAAATTTATATTTTAATAATATCATTTATTTGTTTATTTCATTTAATGATTTTATCTAATTTTAATTTTTTTTTTTAATTAAATATTTAATAAATATAAATACAATCATAAGTATGCATGCATCTATGCATTTGTTTTTTTTTTTTTTTCGAAATTAAATTTGCAAAAATTTGAATTAATTTCTTAACAAGGAATTATTATCAATAATTAATGACTGATGAATTTTTTTGAATTTAATTTTTATTATTATTATAATTGTTAATATTAATTAATTAATTATTCCGAGATTTCTAATCGATTATTGCATTAACTTTCTGATATTTTAATTTTAATTCATTAATTTAAAATTAATGAATTATTAAATAAACTTTGAAATTCCTCATCTTTCCACTTCATTTATATATTTTTTTCCTTTCATTTCATTTAAATATGAATACTTTATTTGATAATTTTCCTTTTTCATTTCTGCGTTTTTTTTTTTCTGCTCTTAAAATTTAAAATTTTTAATTTCTTTAATTTTAACTTTTTTTTAAAAAATTTTTTTTAAAAAATTTTCTTTAATTTAATTTCAATTATTTGCTTTTTTAGTATGTTATTTTTAGAAATTCAATTTCTTCCCATTATTATTTCTTTTACTCTTTTATTTTTTTAAAAAAAAAAGTGAATGAAAAAATTAATAAATAAATAAAATAAAAAAAAAAAAAGATAAATAAATTAAAATTTACCAATTCTAATTGATTTCGTATATTCCAAACTAATTTTTATTTTATTTACATTTTTTTTTTCTGTATTTTGTATAACAAATTTAATTCATTGAAAAAAATTTTTTTTTATAATTATTTATTGCATTTATTTTTTTTTTTTAATATTAATAATTTTATATGTTTTTTTTTTTTTTTTTAAAAAATTTATAAAAAGAAAACGATTTTAAATATTAATAATAATTTAAATGAGGCAATTTCGATTAAAAAATTAGAACTAATAAACGTTAAATTAGTTTTTTCGCATTAATAATTTACAATTGTAAAAAAAAATTTATTCATATTTTCCCATCAAATTTTGCATTCTATTTTTAAATTTTACTTTTAATTTAATATTAAGCAAAAAACAAAAAAAAAAAAAAAAGTTTTAATACCTAAAATTGCAGCAAAAATTAATAACAATAATAAACAAATTTAATTATTTAATTTTATTATTAGCAAAATTAATTTGAATTAAATCATAATTAATGATATAAAGATGAGAAAAAGAAGAAGTAAAAAATTATTATTTGTTAAAAATAATAATAATAATAATAAAATTAAATTATTATTTGAAAATTTTCAAATTATTTAACTCAAATAATTAATAATTTGAATGAAAAAAAAAAAAAAAAGTAACAATTTATTCCACATTGTGCATTAATGAAAAAATATGCATAAATAAAATTGAAAAAATAAATTTGTATATTTGCAAATTTAAATTTAAATTTACAATACACACACACACACATGCACACAGTGTAAAATGAAAATTTAAGAATAAAATAAAAATTTCATTTCTAATCAATCATTTCATATTTTAATTCATATACTGATTTGGTGTATATGTCATTTTGCTAAGTTTAAGTTTAATTAAGTGAAAGAAATTAAAAAGAATAAAAAATTTTACAATTAATTATAAATTTTGAAATTTATAATTAATTATGTTATGGCAATGGTTGCATTCATCAAAAATGGAAACAATATCAAAACGTTATGCGCAAGTTTGTATTTACTTTCTTTTTTCTTAAAAAAATTATTTAAATGTAAAAATTTTTAATTAAATAATAGTTTTATATTTATTCAATGTTACTTTCAAATATTATCAAATTATTATGCTACAATTTTAAATTAAATTATTTTGTATTTAATCTTTTTTTTAAAAAAAAAAGAAAACTTGATAGTAATAATAATAATAATAATAATTTAAATGTAAAAATTTTAAATTAAATAATACAGAACTATAATGTAAAATTTTATTTAATTGAATAATTTAATATTTGTTTTGTTTTTTTTTTTTAAATATTGCTAAATTTTAATGTTTTAAATTAAATAATTTCATATTTATTTATTTTTAATTTCCTTTTTTTTTTTTTTGTTGCAAATATTAGTGCATTATAATGTATAAAATAAGTTTAAATTAAATAATTTAATAAATCATTTAATAATTAAACTATTAAAATTATTTTTTATTATTTTTTGTTTTTTTTAAATTAATATTTTAAAGGTTTTCAAAGAACGTTCAACACGTAAAGCATTTGTGCTTGATCCGGTTAAAATGGCTGTATCACCGGATGGAAGATTTGTCTTTACAATTGGTAGCCGAAAAGTTAGTTAATATAAAAAAAAAAAAAAGAATTTTTTAGAAGAAAGAATTAAATTATAAAATATTTAAAATGAAAAAAAAAAAAAACTAAAATATATTCAAATTTTAATTTTTATAATCATTCTAATAAATATTAATAGTTAAAAATGATAAGAAAAGAAAAAAAAGTTTTATTGTAATAAATTCTTACAAGAATTTATGATTAAAATTGTTATCAAAAATTTAAAAAAAAAACAATTTAATAACATATAGTTTTCATTGATATTAAATTTTTGCTAACATTTAATATTTAATATTTTAAATTATTAATTTTATTCATTGTAATATAACAGTGTAAAGTAACAATTAATTATCAATAATTAATGATAAAATTAATTAATTTGTTGTAAAAATTACTAATATTAATTAGTTTATTTTTGAAAAATTAAACTTTTATATACTATTTAAAAAAAAAAAAAAAACAATAATTAAAATTTTAATTTTTAATTGTAAAAATTAATTTATATCAGATAATGGTAATATCGGAACGTAATCCAATGGAATGGTTGACATCATTTAAAATTGATGTTTTTAATTTAAATTTGGAAAAACGTCAAAGTTTAAATTTGAATGATTTATTTGATTTTGGTGATTATCTTATACATACATATGCAATTGATAATAATACGTTAATTGTTTTGGATTATAATCATCGTCAAACAACGCTGCGACAACGAATTGTTAAAGTAGGATAATTTTTTTTTTAAATTAATTAATTAATTTTAATTCCATTAATTTTTTTTTTTTTTTTTTTTTTGTAATTTTTTTCTTGAACATAAATAAATTGCTGTTTTTTAATATGTGGAATAGTTTTCATTTTTTTTATAATAAAATTAATAGCAATATTATTATTAACTAATGTATAAAATATTTTTAATGTGAAATTTTTATTCGCATAAAAATAGAAAATAAAAATAAATAAATGAATAAAATAAATTAATTTATTAATTGATTAATAATATTATTAATTAGTAATAGTAATATTTATAGCAATAGTAATAATAATAATGATAAATAATAATATTAGTGATAATGATAATAGCTAGTAATAATAATTAATAATAATAATAATAGTAATAATAATAATGATAGTAACAATAATAATAATTAATAATAAGTGATAATAATAATTTTTATAGCAATAAAAACAAAAATAACATTAATAACGACAATAGTAATAATAATAATAACAGTACAATAATAATAATTAATAATAAGTGATAATAATAATTTTTATAGCAATAAAAACAAAAATAACATTAATAATGACAATAATAATAATAATAATAATAATAACTAATAATAATGATGATAATTAGTAATAATAGCAGTAGCAATGATAATAATAACTAATAATAATGATGATAATTAGTAATAATAGCAGTAGCAATGATAATAATAACTAATAATAATGATGATAATTAGTAATAATAGCAGTAGCAATGATAATAATAACTAATAATAATGATGATAATTAGTAATAATAGCAGTAGCAATGATAATAATAACTAATAATAATGATGATAATTAGTAATAACAATAACAATAATAACAGATTACTCGGAACATAGCGATTTCACCATTCCATCGATGCTATCACTATGGCACCTCACAAACATCATTCATTAAAGCAGCAGTTGGTGACAAATTATGCGCTATTGTTAGTAAACAACGTTTTGGTATGAAATATTTTCTAATTTAACAAAATTATAATATTAATTAAAATTAATAAATAAAAATTAAAAATTAAACAAAATAAGAACTACTGGTTGTAGACAAACGAAAATAATTCATTTCATTTAAAAAAATAATCAAATTTCAAAACAAATTATTATTATTGATATTCCTAATTGATTAATTAATTAATTAATTAATCTATTCTAAACTGTGTCACTTACAGAAGGACAATTTGTTGCATTAATTATACCAAAAAATCCATTTGAATTGGATGAATTCAATCTACCAATTAATGTTTCTATACATGTTAATAATGTAAATGAAATTTCATTCTTCTTTTTTTAATTATATTCTAAAAAAAATTGATGTAAATATTTATGTTTGAATACTACTTACTACTCTTTGAAATATTTAATTAATATCAACAATAATTAATGTTAATAAAATTTTCTTATGATAATATAACTTTTTAAATACTGAAATAATAAGTAAAATAAATAAATAAAAGACAATATTTTAATGAATTTTTTCTGCTTTTTTTTTCAAGATAATTATATGTGTTTTTTCTAAAAATTAATTAACACAATTAATTTCCTTTTTTTTTTTTTTTCGTAAATTTAAAATTCAAAATTTTTAGATGAATACTGCACTTCATGCAACATTATCATTAAATATTTGTCATTATATAGCACCATTTTTTTCACGTAATGATCATGAATTATGCTTTTTAACTGTAAATAGTTTGACTTTAAATATTGAACCAACAAATGTTAGCTGTTTAAATTTAAGGTAAAAAAAAATTTTTCTTTTTTCTTTTTTCTTCATAAAAAAAAAATTATTTTCTGTAAAAAATAATTTTACTATTTGTAGAAATAATTAGCTAAAAAAAAATAAAAATAGTGAAAAAAAGAAAAAAAAAATTCTTTGCTAATAAAAATAATTCGATAAAAATTTAATTTCTTTAATGAATGAACTAATTTATTTTTCTTTTTTTTTTTCACAATTTGAAATTACAATAAAAAAACAAAAATTTTGATATTATATCAAAAGAAAATAGAACAAACAAACAAAAAAGAATATTAATGAGCAAAAAGGAAAAAAAAAACTTTTCTATTTTTTTTAAAAAAAAATATAAATTAATTAAATTTTATAATTATTAATTTGCAGTAATTATAAATGGTATTTACGTGATACAATCGTTGATGAAATTAGTGGCTTTCCATGCGATGAATATCAACAAACACCAATTCTTGTTGATTGTTTTATTTGTCAAAATGGCAATCAACAGGTGTTTGTAATTAAATGCTAAAATTGAAATGAAAATTAATTCAAAAAATTTATAATCAATTTTATATTGCTAATTAATTGTTATATAATGCTAAAATTGGAATAAAAATTAATTCAAAAAATTTATAATCAATTTTATATTGCTAATTAATTGTTATATAATGCTAAAATTGGAATAAAAATTAATTCAAAAAATTTATAATCAATTTTATATTGCTAATTAATTATTATATGATAGTAAAATACAAAATTGCTAATTATTATATGGCCAAAATAGAAATGAAGTTCAGTTCAAAAAATTTATAATTAATTATACATTGCTAATTAATTATTATATAATGCTAAAATTAGAATGAAAATTAATTCAAAAAATTTGCAAACAATTTTATATTATCATTTAATAATTGTAATAATAATAAAAAATAATTTAGATTGGTTTAATTGCACGATATCGAACACCACCAAATAATTGGCGTTGGCATATTTGTTCCATACTTCAATGGATGCAAATGCGCTTTGTACGATTATTTTTTTTAAGTATGGATTTAGAAGTGGAAACATTTGGAAGGATAATTTTATATTTTACAACATTTCTTAGCTATATTAGAGATCGTTTAGTATTACGACCATATGCTAGGTAAGTGATAAAATATTTGCACAAATGAATACTTTTTATTATTTTTAATAATCAATTAATTTGATATATATATATTTTTTTTTTCATTTACTCAATTGCTTTTTTCTAACTTTAATAGCACTATATATAGTTTTCAAAATTTTAATAAATAAAACTATATAAACTTAAATGTGTATTACAAATTACTGACAACTTCTGATTTTAAATCATTAATCAATTTCTCTCAGAAAGAAAAAAAAAAACTTTTTTTTTCTTTCCCTATTATATGTTAGTTACATTATTTCAGATTGGGAATTTTAAATTTAAAATCTTGGAAATGGATTGATTATTCTCATATGTTGAAAGATATTCATTATGTTGATCAATTAACAGATTTAGCATCAGAAAGTGGACAAATTATTTCATTCATTTCACAGGTAAATAAATCATCGATGACAATTCATAAACAAATAAAGTGAAGCGATAATAATTTAATGTTTCATTTTATTTCTTTCAAATGAAGAGAAAAAAAAACACTAATCATTTTGCTATTTTTTGCTATAATGATTATCAGAAAATTATCGGAAAAAAAAAAAAAAAGACAATTTAAAACCTTCCCAGGAAGATTAACAAGTGATAAATAAATGGCTTATTTAATTCAAATTCATATAGACATGGGCTGAGAATGAATGCGAACAAAGTATACGTCTCGGGAAATCTCCTGTATCTATGATGTCACTATTTGCAATTGCTGATTTCGAGCTTCAACGTCAAAGAATTCCCAACTTATGCAATCTTCGTCGCCAATTCTTGAAACATGTGAAAATTACCTGATTTATCGGTCGCCGATATGATAATATTCAATTCTCGACGAATGTAATGAGAAATAAACCGTACCAAACACACTAGTTTTAGTTTAAGAAGTCTGAACAATTTGAGCTACAGTCACTATATTGTCCTCATTTTTATTATTTATATACTCAAAAAATAAAAAACTGGACATTCCCTCTAGCAGAAATGTAGCTTTATTAAATTTCATATTCTGTAAACTGCCTTTTACTATAAGACATTATTCATGGGAAGCTTGACAACTTGTAATCAGGAAAACATTTATTTTAAGGTCGCGTAGAATGACAATAATAAAATGATAACAAACAAAAGTGTTTTTTATGAAGTCATCTATTCCTCTCCATCACTAACTTCATCTTCACCACTGACGCCTTTCTTTGCATTACGCCTTTTCACTCGTCCTGCACGGCCACCGCCGAAGGGTGATTTTAATGAGAAGTCAATGTGTTTTTGTGAATCCAAGCGAACAATAAACGATGGTACATTGACAATTTGACGTCGAACGCTAAACGAGATATTTTAATAATCAAAATCATGATTACAATGAGACAAATCTACTGAACATCGCTAATTCTTTGCAAGGAGATGAGACTTATATATATATACTATTCCATTATCATAACCACACCAAAAACTTTCAAATTTAAAGATTGCTAAGAGTCTTAACAACTATAGTTAGTAATAATTATATCAAAAAAAAAAATTATTACATTAAAACACCAAATGATCCTCAATAGCTTCATACTCATAAAACTTTTAATCAGATGAAAGAATACAAGTGTAAAGGAAAGATCAGATAACATACCGAATATGCTTTTGCCTGATCAAAACACGAGCATGATGAATCGATTTAGCTAAACCGAGTTTGAAAACTTGAGTTTGTAAACGACGCTCTAAGAAATCCTCAACTCGTAAACCCAAAACATAATCGAGCTTCATGCGATCTTCGCTTAATACACCAATTCGAACAAGTCGTCGTAACAATGCATTACCTTCAAACAAACGTCTTGGATCCTGAAAAAATGTCATTGATAAGTCAAAAGACAAGATAAGAATTTATAAAAATGACCTGGCCACTTTTCCAGAACTATTTTAATATCGCTTACATTGTTATTGCATTTAAAATGACAATATGAACGACCGAAACCAAGTGATGATCTTTATCATCGAAAAAACTAAATCTATTTAACCCTTAAGAACATAAGTGATTGATTGTAAAGTTCTACTACAGCGAAAAATAACTCTTTACATTAGAACAGAACTTTAAAGCCAACTGAAAAATTCCATTACATCAATTCTTCAAACAAACCTTCTCCTCAAGCGTAAGCAATGTCCGAGCAGCTTTTCTAATTTTTGCTAGTGTGTACTTCACACGCCACACTTCGCGCTTATTACGCAAACCGAACTCTCCAATTAGTTTCAACTCCTGAATATAGTAAATGATTGTGCAAAACTAATTCAGGACGGACATTTTCCATATAAACTATGCAACAAAGAACAAATAATTAGCCAATACGCGTACTTTACTCTTAAACATTATACTAAGACTTCTTGAAATAAATGCACAGACCTGATCAAGACGTTCCTTCTCGAATGGACGTCGCGGACTTTTATACACCTTTGACATAACATTCTTTACACGCGGCATTGTGTCCTACCTTTATCAAATTGCTTTCGCTGAGTTAAAATCACACTTCAGCAATCGCTCTAAATCACCCCTATATCAATGAGTGACAAGTACTAGTAACAATTACAACAAATCGCAAAAACATTTAAGCTAAATCTTTTCTAACAAAAAAAAGTGCTCTACAACTTGAGATATCTCAAACATTTTACATTCACATATCTCAAACTAATAATCAACCTTATTTCGCTTCTTACAAAGCACAGCTTTCTATAAACTACGAACAACACAAAAGTTCACGTACGCGAGACACGCGCACGCACACATACAAAAGAAACACACGTACACCCACAACACACCCCAACACCACGTAAAGGGCCTACGAATGCCAAAATAGAGTGGCACGTAATCAAGGAATCGTTTCAAAAATTGTAACCAAAAATTGCAGCTCAAAATTACATATTAGGTACAATCTTGTATTGCAGGAGATAGCTGATATGATCATAATTAAGAATTTTGATTTCAGTGTTGTGCTGTTCACTTTAAACACATTTGTGCTTGTCAATTAAAACTTGATAAAATTATAATTTGTACTTAAGAATTGAAATCTGGAATTTTTAGATTTCAATTTCACTAAATACATGGAATTTGTGGACTTAAATGTGCAAATATTTCCTTACACTTTGTAATGTATTTTATATGACACAAAAAAATCTATCGTATGTATTTGCTTTATAATATACTTGCAAATACAAATGATTTTTTTCCTTCTTATTAAAATTACTAATAAATTTTTCAGATTTCAATTTCATTCAATAATTTAATGCAATTTGTAAATTTAAATTTTAAAGCATTTCCTTATGTATTTGTCTTATAACAAATGTATTTCTTTATATTTTATAATATAAATATGTGTAAGTAAAAATTAAGTATATGTAAATGATACGAAGTAATATGAATTTTGTCCTTTTTCATTAAATTATTAACACGAGATGGTTGTATTAGCATTTCAGTTATTTCTATTATTCACTGCTACAATTTATGCTAAATTATCCATTAATAATAGTAATAATATTCGAAAGATTACATCAGAAATTAATGTGATTGATAATATTCAAAAGATATCAATTGTTACATCTAAGGAAACAATCAATACTACAAGTATGTTACCTTCTTCTTTAATGATAGCATTAATAGTAATATTGGGAGGGAGAGAGAGACAGAGAGAGAGAGAGAGAGGGAGGGATTCTAATCTTTTATCTTTTCATTAAAAAAAATCAGGAAAATGCAAGTTTTCTAATTTGCCTAATTTGAAGTCAAAAATGATCTGAAAAAAAAAAAAACGAATATATTACTAACTTTTTTCTATTTGTAAAAAGTTTTTGTTAAAAATAAATTATCAGTGTTGACATAGCATATTATATTGAAAGTCTACAAATAGTTAATTAATCAAATTGTTACATTCCTCAAAAAATCACTATAACTCAAATTAAATCATTCATATAAGATAAATTTTTGATTAACTATTTTTTGGCTTCCAATATAATATTATCAATGAAAATGATAGATAATCATGTATAGATCATATCGATAGTGATAGAACTGGAATATCATCACAATCATATCACCGATCACTGAATGTGATACGCTGGAAAATAAATATGTTCTGGACAATTGTTACTATAATTTCAATTTTATGGATAATAATTTTAATTAGCATAATTGTTATTGTTTATATACGAATTGTATATATGCATCATACCATTTCACAGATATTTTGTCCAAAAGAATGATAATTTTTTATTTAAAAGAATAAGTTATTTTTTTCAATAAAAATTTTCACTATTTATTGAGAAAAGAAAATGCAAAAAACTATTGTAAAATACAGAATGAAATGTTTTGAATAATTTTAAATAAAAAAAATTTACTTTATAACTATTAAAAAATTATACGTTATTATGATTTAAATCCTTTTTTTTTTTTTTTTTACTTTTCATTTCTAATTATTTAATTAAAATGGAGCAATGAATTTGATGTATTCATTACGTTAATTATATTGTGCTTTACAATGCTTAGAAAAATAATACCATTTTTTACATTTTCAATTTACTCTTATCAATTAAAAATATATCACTGAAATAATAATAACATTTCATAACTTATAATTTTATTGGCATAAGTATGAACAAATTATAATTACAAATAAGTAAATTACATAAAAATTATTATGAATTTTTAAAACGATATGTTTCTTTTATGATATCATTTTTAAATAAATTTTTGAGTAATACTTTTATGTATTATTTCTTTTTCTTTTTTAATGATATATATTGATATAAGTGTTATTTTTAGGAACATACATCGTTGATTATAAAAATACATCATCGTTAATTTTATTCTATGAATGAATAAAAACATAAAAAAAAAAAAAAAAAACAAACTTCGGACTGTAACAAGCAGTAAAATACCGGAAAGATAAAAGACATGCATGTAGTCAGTATACAACAAATCACCGATAGCTTTCACGTTATTGGCGGTATTGTCTCTAGTAAGTTTAACATTTTTAGCAGTACCAAGATGTTCAAGAGTTGATAAATTCAACGAATTTCAATAAATTGTTTTTTTTTTTTAAATTTTAGGTAGATATATGCTTTGTTAACATGTTCAGTTCAAAATCCGAAAGTAAGTTCATGCTTTCTATTGGAGAGGAATTTTGTTGTGCTAACGTTTCTACTTTTATTCCACACTTTTTTTCTCATCAGGGAAGAGAATATACCCTTGCTTGTTGAATATCATTTCGTGCAACTGTTTTTGGAATCTTAATATCCTAATCTAATAAGTAGCCACAAGCTAAAAATAAAGTCATATGCTTACTTATTGTAAGCCTATTTACTAATAAAAAATAAATCTTAAACTATAAGGGTAATGATGTCAACTATTAACAAATCAGAAGATAAGAAAAAGATTATCAGGGATCTTATAACCAAAAGTATTAAAAAGGGTGTCTTTATCACTTTTGATGATACAAATGATAAACTGTCAGACGAAACCCGGTAAAGAATTTATTTACAAGATATGAACTCCGTAAAGCTTTTATCAAGGACAGATGAAATTGTAATCTGACAAGCATAACATGTCGCGTGCAATCATTGAAATATCAGTAAGACTAAAGATGATAAAAGCATGATGGGATGATTTGAGCAGTGGATCTCTGTTACTGAGAGAAATTACACATCTAGATGCAGTTTATAACTCCAATTTTAATGCTATATCCAAAGAAGAGAGTGAAGAAAGTATTGAAGATGATAAAGATTTTGAGAATGTTTCTGAAGACATCAAAGATGACAAATATTGTAACGAT